GGGATGAATCTAGTCATTCTGCAAATGCACATAATTCACACCACATTAGTTTGTACAAAAGGCAGAGCAAAAGAGATAAGTACCAGTCTTCCCTGGCAGCCCATTTAGAGGCAGAAAGCCATCCCTTAATGACCTCACTCAAATAGGGGAGATGTGGACATTAAGAGTAACAAGATCTTGCAAATAACTGCACCATCTTCACTTTGGAAACCACTAATGTCTTTTGTATGTCCAAGTGAGATTGAGCTTTGCAAGTGGTTGTGCATCTAATGTATAATGTATGTGTAGCATCGCTAGTAACCGTGTTACTTAGGTGTTTAGGTACTTGCTTCACACTAGTCTCTCTCTGGATATGAATTTAAAAAAAAATAAAATAAAATAAAATGTGCAAAATAAAACTGGATGTGTTCAATCGGGAAAAGAAATTATTATCAGAGTGTGTAAAATGACTTCAAAGACTTTAAAGAAATGCAACAGCTGCTAAGAAGATTTTTTTTAGCTAATTAGAGTATAGAGCAACAGCAGAATAACAGCATTTCTCAGGTTTGCAAAGTAGTTTGGTGTCTTTGCCAACAGAACAAATCCCTGGAAGATCTCTGGGATTGAGTAAAATAAGAAAAACATGAAAATGAGTTTGATATTTTAAAAAAGCAGACTCTCCTTGCATAATTTAAGTACCTATCCTCAGAGGATGCTGCACAGGCTTACAGGATTACTAGTCATATACAGGTTGGTCCTGAACATCCCCATTGCTATGCAATCTTTGCAACATTATCCCTCCCAGAACTGCAGTCCATAAAGGAGCTCATTATTGCTGTTTTGCTGTTTGCTCACTGATTACTGCTGCTCTTTATTGCTTGGAGTGCCCTGGAAGCATGAAGTGTGGTTGGGCAGTGGAAGGCACCACTTCTTGTTGCTGAGCAGAAAGCAGACTGCTCTGCAAGAAACTACACAAACACAAATGTGTGAACGAAAGTGAAAAGAAGCAACAAACAAGCAATATCAAAGGGAAGCCTTCTGCTTTCCCTCCCAGGGAGGAACTAAAAAGCCTTATTTAAGTCAAATGTGCTTAACCCTTAACTGTTGTGCATAGAAAATGCAAAATGATTGGGGAAAAAAAAAAAAAAAAAAAAAAGAGAGAGAGAGAAAGAGAGAGAAAGAAATTTAACACTGGTTCAGTGGAAAAAAATGCCATAGGCTGTAAACCACTGGTATGTGACTTAATAGTCTCTCATTGTTCCTAATCCAGTTATTGTTTTCCTCCCTATTTGTTTCCACAGCAAAATTCCAGAAAAATGAATAGTAGTAGAGCCTGTTGGATCCCTCTGCAACTGTCCAGGGGTTCTTTCTCTCCCAGCTTGTTGCTAGAATYTTGCAGCTTACACTACTTTGATATCTCCACTGAATTCTATGGGAATAGCAGTGTGAAGAGTTGTGCTGAGGGAGTGCTTGCTTGTGCACGAGTAATCAAATTTCCTGTTTCAGAACATCCCTCTGATGCATTATGTCTTTCATCCTCATCCTCTGTGTCTAGCTTCTTCCTTCCACATGTCACTGTCCATATAATTGCGTACACTTTGAACTGATGCAAAATGCAACACCACTCTAACTCATTTGACTAGATGTCAAAGAGTATAGTAAACGTTTATGTTAGAGGATACAGTAAAAGACTGAGTGAGATTCTGTCAGTATTTTTGATTTGTGATATGCTAAGATTTCTAGAGAAACAAAATTTCTCTCTTTTTTTTTTTTTCTCCCCAGCCTTTGTAGCATGGTTCAACATTAATGGGATCTCTTCATGTGTGTAAGAGTAAAAAGCAGGTCAGATAATGTATTTTCAGAATTTTCAAACATTAAAATATTTGAACAGAAGCTTAAAGTGGAAGTAATAGTTTTAAGTTTCAGACATAAAATTTCTTCAAAGTTTTAACTACTCTTGACTCATGTCTGTGGGACAGCTGTCCAAGTCTTGTAAATTAAGATGCATGCAAAGCTCAATCTCTGATATCAAAGTGGAGTCTGATCCAGGGRAAGGTATTATCTTCTGAGTAAAACCTGTCCTGTGAAAGACCATGTTGTTTCAGAACTAATATGGATAATAATTTYAAAATCAAGGATTTAAATTCTGCACTGATAAGTGCAATTCCAATGGAGAAAAAAAGATTTATGTGGTTCATGTATCTAGTTCTCAGATTTAACTAAGAATTCCATCTACAAAAAAAAGGATTTACAGTATCTGAGATTTTTCAGTCTCTGCAACCTTCAGACATTACCAGTGTGTAAATTAATCAACTAGTATAAGAAAACTGTTCTCCCTGCAAACCTGAAGTAAATAACAATTCATGTATGCTATTTCAGAGAAGAATTTTTCAGTGTAGCAAACACTTCCTGTAAATCTTTCACAAATTACAGTGGTTACTGTTTGAGGACTTTCTGCATGAGCTACTTTTTCCCTGAAATCAGTRCCTGGTTGCCATCCAGACCAACACGTGAGCTCCCAGTCCGAACCAGCTCCGGACTCAGTGTTGGGAGACTCTTTGCTTGACCCTTGGGAACTTAGCARCCTTGGTGAAGCATGATGGTGGATGACCTATCTAATGACATTCTGGGAAATTTTCGTGTTTTCCTGGTGTTAAAGAAGAATATCACAGGACTRGTTCCATTTTTGCCTACAGGACCCCATCAAGTGGATGAAAGATGCAGAAATGCAGAAGTCCAGGGGCTTAATTTAGCCTGAAAAATCATCCATTGCCAAAGCCAAATTAACTAGAACAACAACCTRTCCTTGTAGGAAGGGCCATCCAGCCGATATCTCAATGCCGACAAATACTCAGAAAGCATTTCCCATAATTCTAAAATTCCTAAATAAATGAGAATTTGTCTTCTATAAAGTAGCTATTCAGTCTTAGCTCTAGCACTCATATCATCATACAAAATTCTTATTGTAGCTGATCAATGAAATGTGCTCAGGTATACCCTTAGACCTTTCTAATCCCTCATCATCATGAAAATTTTCCAATCAAAGAATCAAAATCCAGTTAGCAAGTTTAATTATTTTCCTCCAAGCAAATATTTTGACAGACATATTCAGAGCTTCACTGCAGCATACTTATTCAGTTTACTCTAACTATTTAACTTCTTTCTCAGGAAGTATTTAAATTCTTTCTCAATCTTGTTCTCAGACAAAATGTCATTAAAAAGGAGATCAGTTTTTCCTTGTGCTAATATTAGTCTGATTTGTTCTGTGTGTAATTTAGGTCTCAAATTTTTCAGTTCTTGCACCTAGAATTTTAGGAACTGCAGACATKTTCCTTCTATGCATGAAGTTTTCATTATTTCTGTTATTTTTAACAGCATTTACCCCCAAAGCATGAAAACTTGAGGTTCTTTTTCTTGAAATTGGAGCATTGCATTCTAGCAAAGCAAGTGAGCACTTGCTATGAAACTTAAACAGGTCAAACAAACAAACAAATAAACATAAAAAACAATCTTCTTGAACTTAAGTGACTCGAGTTATTCCTATCAACACTCAAGGAAAAACTTCAGTGAGAGAGAGGAGAAGGAAATCTAAAGATTAGCATTCTTCTTGGAACACTGGTCAATTTTTAACAGCTGAAAAATAAGACTGTTTATACATCAAGAGTGCATTAGATCCTGCTTAGTGGCAAAGCAGAACTTTCAGGCCCTTAGGCACATTATTCTCTTTTAATTGTTCATTTCCTCTCTGCTGTTCATTGGTCTGCAAGAAGTAAAGAGATTACTATCACTCAATAAAATCATATAGTTTGTTTTTTATAGCACTTCATCATCAAGCATTCATGAAGTATAGATGCATTTATTAGTAATAAGCTTAAAAATATTAAAAAGCAGCCACATGAATTACAAAGCAGTATTTACAAAGATTTACATGATAGCATGTCAAAATTATTTTTAAATTATAGTAACACTCATTGTTATTATAAACTCATTTATATGAAATTTTAAACTCATTGTTATGCAAGATGTGTTTTGAGTCAACTGAGTCTATAAATGTGTTGCTCCAAAGGAAGCTGTTGGGTTCCTACYGCTCCTCATCCTTATATCCTTCATTTTCTCCGCTATCATCTCAACACATCAAACACGAGTCTTGTAACAACAGATGCAATGTGTCACAATGATCCTGTTTATACTCACCTATATTTCTTATGTAACCTCCTAATATAGGAGATAAGACTTGATTCTTAGTGCAAAAAAAAATAATTATTTAAAACCAAAACAAATTAGCTTTCCCCTAATTAATGAGCTCCTAAATTTAGGAGGTTGAGTTTACAGTTACAAGTGAGCATCAGTGCCCTGAAGAGATTTTCCAACAGATTGGGCAAACGTAGCCTTTTCTAGGTTGTGAAGGACATGACCCGCAAAGAAAAGCCTTCCTTCAGTAAACTTGGCAGTGTGACAAAAGAGCCCTTGTAACCTGCAAAATGTTTTATAACAGGGCATGAAGTCTAGCTGCAGAAAGAGTTATGTTGTGTTTCATTGCCCAACATAAACACCATGRCACTAGAAACATTAACTAAAACAAAAACTCAATAAAATACCTAGTACCTTCTGATTAGACACTCGCAGTAGTTGTGATTACATCTTTAAATGCTTCAGAGCTTACATATATCTAGATCTAACAGTACAGGTAAACATTCACTTTATAGCTCTAAGAAGTAGTGTACTCAAAGTGATGCTGGTAGGAGACAATAATTTCACAGCTCTATAGAAATATATTAAATACTATGCAGAAAATAGCTCTCAATTTTTTATCATCTGTTTTCCAAACGTACCACCTCAAGTTCCATTCCCATCTGCATTTTATTTTGCTGGTTATCTTTTCAGTATTACTAAAAAACCTACAATCTCATAGTGGGCATATCATAGTCAGCACTCTTATAACCTACTAAATCCTACTGTTCCTTACATTTCTAAAGCATTCCCAGGCTTGAAGGGACAGAAACCCATCTCTTCTGGATGACATGTCAGGTAAGTCATTCACGATATAGTTCAGTGGTTTTGGTAAGACTGATTGCAATGTTCTGCCTAAATTCACTTGGACAATTATGTGGCTGTCATTTGAATTTAGCCTGTTGGCATTTGCTGGAAGAGTTCTTGTTCACTCCATCCTTCATGTTTYTGTTTTGTTTTGTTTTTGCATTTTTTTCCCTTACTGAGTTTCAGTGATAGCTGAAATAACTATTCCTTGAGAAATCAAGCATGCAGGTAACTGCAACAGTGCAACCTATTATTTTCATAAAATTCTGTCAAGCAGAAGTATTTTTTTAAGCTATGAATCAAAAGTTTGCTGATCTCATGAGAATTCATGCACCTTAGAATTTTGCTTTAGTCACAGCTTTAACAGCATTTCTGCCTTTTCCAKGATTTCAACATGAATCAAATGTGTATTTCCCCAAAAAGGTACCAAGGAAGAAGTTAAGGCTTGCTTGAAAATAGCTTTTTATGAGTTAGACTTGGGGCTTTTTTTTTCACTTTAATTTGTCTTTCCATGCAGGTATTACATAAACATGTAATGTTTATGTGGTATTAGATGTGTAATGGTATCTGGTATTAACACACAGCAGACAGCTTCTGAATTAAACTATATTAGCTATTTTTCTGACTCACCACAAGATGTCGGTGTGACACATTTATGCTAGCACCGTGTTATTCACACACAACTTCCTGAAAATTGCCAATGGATCAAAAGATTTTCTTTCAAAACAATTCAGAAATATATTGTGACCACAAATGTGGTGYGTTATCAGCAAGAGAAGGCAAAGGCTGACAGTGAAAGACTAATTAACTTCAAACCTCACTGTCTCACTTCAAACCAATTTTGCAAAGAACGATTTTGCAGGATTTGCCAAATCCTTCAATAGTTTCCTGTTTTTCTGCACCAAGGAGCATGTCAAGATGCAATTGCTAGGGACTCACTGTCTGCCCTGCTTGGAAAAGAAAACAAGAGAAAACTAAGGTATAGAGCTAACAACTAAGGACATTGATGCAATTCCCATTTTAATGAATCAAATTCTGCATGAATTTGGTAATTTTAAGGGTTTTTTTTTGCCTCATGGTTGTGCAACTGTAGTTTATATGTGCATCATTGTATTAAACTTTAAAATAAATGATATTTATATATATTATAATCTGATATAAATATTTTGTTTATGTATGCCATTMCTATTATCTATATATTACATAATGCTATTATTTCTATATAATGTCATCAAATTCCTATTAAAGAAACCAACAATAGTAGAAAATGGAGTCCAGTAGGCCACAGAGCAGTGAGTGTCACACGCCCTGGTAGAAGTCAGCTTTAACATCCTGGTTTGTTATTGCGGCCCAGCGAGCACCAGATTATTCCAGTCTAACAGCAGGAGGGAATGAGGGACTCCTTCCTCCTCTGTTTCCATAAAAGCCTGGGGTTTGGTTATTCAGATCTTTTCTTGGGAGTGTTTGGGCCCTGCAAAAGAGGACTGGCTCTCTTCCACTGGCTGATTTAGGCAGTGTTCACCTGGGATTCTGGATGCCGTTTCTTTGACTGTATGGCCTACACTTCTACCCCAGCACGGAGTAGGAAGCTGTGCCAAAAAGGAGCCCTCGTTGCAGCTAGGACATTGCTCAACAGTGCCATGCCCAACATCCCCTGGAGCCCTCCTTCCCTGCTTATTCTTGGGAATAATTTAGCATCTCACAGCTGCATGGCTCTTTGAACCAGAGCTTAATCACTCTGCGTAGAGCAAATTTGGCTGTACACTAACATGAACAGTCCCATCTGCAATACCAGCCTCATACACCAGAGAGCGAAATGTCCTTTAGCAAGCTGTATGTTTAAGACTTAATATGACGTCAGCAATCATTTTTTTAAATATATTGTTTGACTGAAGTTGGCTAAGCTTCAGTCAAACAAAGATGATAAACTAAACACATATAAACATCAAACTAAGTTCCTCAGTACTGCAGCCACATGTGCATATTTAAATTTGATAGCCTGAAAATGTTTTCTAAATTGCTGAGATGTTTCCATTTCAAGTGCCTTTGGTTATTCCTGTTGATGTATTCTCCTGTTAGCAATAAGTAGCTAAGAAAGATGAAATTAATTCCTTAMCTTTTAAAAGAGAAGAGAAAACAGAGAGTAAAGTAGCTTGAGACCAGAATCCAAGAGCAGAAAGGAGCCCCTTTGCTCTGCTGAAGCTACAAGGCTACATTATCAAAATCAGATTCCTTGTCCTGTGGCATAGAAAGGGATCCTATACAGAGTCTTGTATAAGACAAGAATTTAATGGGAATCCAAAGCATCTTTCATGTTAAGCAGACCAGTACCAGGTATACACATGTACAATACCCAGTACCAAGTATGCTTATCAGAGACATTCAAGACAGAAAAACTAACAGAATTTTCCCTGGGAACAAACAGCTTTGTCACAGTGGGCTGTGCTGACACTGTTCCTCTTTAAATTTGAAGTATGTGTGYGAACCTCACATAGGCAGCTTTACCTTTTTCTGAAGAAGATAGGAATGGTTAAATAATAAAAAAGAGAGAATGCAGTATTACTGCACAGTACATTTATTAATAAAATGCAWAGCTGGAGTAAAATGTCAGACTATCATCAGAAACCTAATACAGACAGCAATAACTTTAACAATTTCTAAAAACCTATTTGTTCAGTCTYGTGAAGAACAACCAACCAGGCATGTTGCTTCACTTCAGGGTTAAAGTTTCCCCATCAAGTGAATYATTGGCTTGGAAAGCAAAAAACAGCTGCTGAACAGATAATGGGCAATGTTCCAGGTTATTTTTGTCACTATTTTAGCAAGCCATACATTCAGAACTGCATTTTAAAATTATTTCTGCTGGACAGTTGGACAAGAGCAGAGCCAGGAGCTAAGTGAAGTAGCATACTCTGTCCTTTCCCACAATACCCCATTAACCAAATGGCCATTGAGGCCATTAAGGAAACTTGAATCTTTGATCTCCTTTGGTAATTTCCTTACCTTGCAAAGCCACCTTAATGTGCCTAAAGTAAAACAGCAACCTTCAAAACTTAATTATAGATACATCCAGTAACCCTGTCCTGTTATCCATTCAATACAGAAGTTTATTTCTGAAGATAACTATTGGAAGTTGACTGTYTGCTTCTTCATGAGGCTGCAGTGCACCAGCCGCCAAAGATCCCGTATAAACAGGCTTGCCATTTCATGATAATGGAAGATGCAAAGATGAGAAGAGGGAGAAAACTGTGATAAGAGAAAGACAAAAAAAAAAAAAAAAGTATTTTGTTGATTATTTCCAGCATTAGTGCTATTGAGGGGAAAAATCAATTTCTCTGTCAGTTGCCATATTGAGTTTTGCTTCCCATTGCTAAGCCCTGCTAAAGGAATTTTCTAAGCAATCATACTAAAATTTGGAAATGCTTTTCCCACATCAAGTGCATTTTTTCCTTGGTCTTATTTACCAAACTACTAACCCAGGCCATGTAATATCTGCCCTCAGACCACAGGGTAGCAAGGAGGTTGTAACTCCCCTGAGAGCCTTTGAGGACATCACTTGTGTTCCCCAAGCACACAAGCTAAATGGGGTCACGGATTCAAGCTGTTAGAGCCAAAAGAGGAAGGCTGGGACACTGGGATAATACTAGGGATTTGGAGGTTTCTTATTATCCTTCTGAGGAAAAATAGCTGTGCCCTCTCTTGGGTGCTATGAAAAAGAAACTCTTGCTCTAACCCTGCCTGGGCTCTTGAGCCTGACTCCCGGACATGTGCAGGGAAACTCTGCTATGCTTGTAGGTCACGGAGACTGCAGATCAGCTGTCCAGCCACTGCTCCACAATGAGATCCTTAGGTTTCCCTCCTCTCTTSGCCATATTTCACCTGCGTCACTGTGCACTTCATAATTTCACAGTTCTCCTCACCTGAAATTCACTTGGTTCATACTATCACAATAATTAAATTCCTTCCCTCGGTAATTTTTGTATTATGTTTAGAAGAAATATAGTTTATAGCTGTTACTGTTCATCCCTTGGAAAAATAGTATCATTAATCTTGCTTTTAAGTCGAAGAACCTTTCACAATATTTGTCTATGAATTATTCAAAGCAACCCGCAGCACAGCACTGCAAGACTAATCAGAGGAGCATGAAAGTAGTACTTTATTTACAGTGGAAACGCACACACGTGAAAGCTGCTGCAGCAGCTGCAGACGCGGGCACTATAAATAGAGCTCTATTGTCGGTGGCAGCAGACGACAGCAGCCCCGTGGCTCCGGAGCGCGTCCTGATGAGGGCTGCGCTCACCCCGCGCTAAAAGCAAGCGGCTGCACCGAGTGATAGACCAGTCTGCAGGCGAGGCGCGTGACTGCACAGAGTCTGGACTGACTCCTCGGCTTCCCTGCCGCGACGCGTCCGCCTGCCTCGGCAATGGAAGAAACGGTTATAAGGCACTGGGTGGAAACGCCGGTGCGCTACCAGGAGCAGTTTGGAGCGCGGGAGGCGGAGGCGCTCAAGCTGGATCACGCTCTGTACGCCCTGCCGGGCCCTGCCACGGTGGGCAGCCGGTGTCGCGTGGCCCACAGCGCGGCCGGGAACGGGGACGGCGCCCGCGAGGAGCAGGCGYCGCGTTTCCAGGTGCTGCTGGACGTGGTGCAGTTCCGCCCCGAGGACATCATCATCCAGACGTTCGAAGGCTGGCTCCTCGTCAAAGCRCAGCACGGGCCCAGGATGGACGAGCACGGCTTCGTGTCCAGGAGCTTCACCCGGCAGTACAAGTTACCCCACGGGGTGGAGAACAAGGATTTGACGGCGCTTTTCTGCCACGATGGCATTTTGGTTGTGGAAACGAAGAGCTTGGGGGGAACAAATTGAATTATTGGGGGTAGTTTGTTGGTGAGGCAAAAAATTATTCTCAAATAACAGAGTGATGTAACTCAAGCAGCRTTGGAGAGTCAAGCATGAGACTATATTACAAACAAGGAAAATATTTGTATATATTTTTCAGCATGTGGAGTTTCTTGTTTGGTGTGAAAGCAGACCACTTGCCTTCAGCTACACGTGTGCTGGAAAGTGAGGCTTTTGCAACAGGAGRGGATTTAGCGTAATGAGAACAAACGAATCTATTTGATAAGATGTTGAAAACAAAGAATATTCAATATTTTTTTTAAGCAGGAATTGTATTTTAATGAATGAGCAGTTTTAAGATATATTTAGGCATGAATCATTAATGAAGCAAGAGACAGGTTGTGAATTTGATGAAAACTTAACTTATATAGCAAAAATGCTGTTTTTCATTGCTTAATGCTTCAAGTTAATTTTTTCTCCATTATGCTCTGGAAAAACACACAAACTGAAGGATATTATGAAGAAAAAAGCAATTTTCACAGCTTGATTTGTCTGCAAAATAGACTTTAAGAGATTTCTTTCTAAAAGTATGTTTGAAACTATACCCGAACAGAATAATCACTATCTTATATTTGTTTGAAAACACCGTAACTAGTTATAAGTAAGAAAGTAAGTATACCTTCAGGCAAAGACATTTAATTTGAAAGAAAAAAAATCAACGTCATTTAGAAAATTGTTTTCRTGTAATATATTCTAGCATCTAGGAGGAATCAAAAAAAATTATTGCTTATCAATCATTGCCTGTTACTCAGAAGGACAGAATTCTTCCTTACGAAGCTTTGCTGATCAAAAAGCATTAATACAGTATCAATGCCTTCATTATTACACATTTTAGGTAGTTTGTTGGTCAACCAGATCCATAGTTTATTCCTCAAGAGCAAATGCTTCTGCATATACCTAGCCCCAATCTCACTATGTCAGCAAGGGCTCGACATGGATCTAATCTTAAATGTGGGAGTTCTGCACTACAAACATAGGTTTAAATTCTGTCCCAATTGCTCTCCTTTCAAARGATTGGTAGAGTTGAAACAGTAATCTGCCCATTATACGTAGCATCTAGTCTTCTCAACACATTAAAGAAAGAAAAAAAGAAAAAAAAAAGCTCTAAATAAGTTTGTAAATACTCAGACATTTGAGGAGATCTGCAGCTGCAAATCCAACTGCCTTCTCTTATGTGAACTGAAGATAAGTATGGCTGCTGTGCTATGAATAGTAAAGGAATGTGGAATGGAAAGTGCCAAGTTAAATACAGACTTTTTATGATAGCCATCTGCTGTTTGGACAAATGAAAAACATATTCAAATGAAATTGAATACAAATACAATTTTAAGACTGTAAAAAAATGATGGACAAAATGCTGGCTGAAACCAGGTTCCTTTAGTTTAAAAGGAAAGCCCTAGGCTAGTACTTATTCACACATCCATTCACTAGAAAGGATCACATTGTTATTCTTTAGGTTTGAAAACAGCTAACTTCAAGAAACAAGGGAAATACCCTTGGATTTCATTTCTTATTTGTACTAAAATTTCCACCAATTTATAGAAGAAATGCAAAATTCGGTTCTGGATTGTAAATTTCCATAATGTACAATTATTTTGCTTTGTGAATAGAGCAGAAGTGAAGGAACTAATATTTTTTAACAAACCAAACTAAATATAAAACATATGTCCCTACATTTCTACTCAACTCACACTATTTCCTCATGTTGTCCTTGTTTAATTTGTGTGCTGGTTTAAGCAAATAAGAGTATGATCAAGATAGAAAATTAAATCTAGTTTCTAAAATCTCCTGGGTCAAGAAGCTTCTTCAGTCAGGAACTTGATGAAACATAAAATAGATTAAAAATTTGGTATTCTAGATACAGACTTGGATTTAAGCTTTAAATGACAACTTTTTCTAAAAGTTGTCTATTCAGACAGGATATGGCTCAGAATCATTAATTCAGATTCATCAATGGTTTTGTGACTTTCATTTATAGATAATTTTGTAAATCTGATTATTTTATAATAGGGGTCTATATAAAAAACATTTTACCTAAGACTGTGATGATGGCATTCATATCTCGGGTGATGTAAAAGCACTTTTACAAAACCATGATTTAATTATTTTAAATTAGATGATGATTAAACCACTGGAAACTTGGCGAGGAACTGAACCAGACAGCCAAAATCACTTACTGTATTCTATATATGCAAACACCATGGTTACACACAGCTCTGCTTATATATACACCGGGCTGTCTCACAAAGCCGGATGGAGGATTTGACACTGGGGGGGGGTCTCTTCACATTGCTCCGCTCTTAGCAGTGGTAGCAGATGGAAAGCAGTGGAATACACTGACCTCCAGGATACACCCATGCACATTTTACCTTCCCAGCCTGTAGTACCCAGAGCTCTGCAATGGTGTGAATCGGTGGTTCTGCATGAATGAGAGCTCACTGGTGGCCCTGGGCCAGCACAGTAGCGTTTCGTGCTTGTGATGGTGCTAGCATAGCTACCTGCCACTCCTGTCCTCCCTTTTAGCCCTCAGCACAACAGAAGGAGGTGTCTCTGTTGCTTTTTTTTAGTGGTAGTTTCTTGAATGTTTCTGGTTAAATGGTTTCTAAGTGTTTACCAGAGTAGCCTGAAACTACTTGGCAGAGCATTTCCGAATTGTTTGTGGAGAGCTGTTTTCCCATAATAAATCTGTCATTTAGCTGTTACAATATGATCAGTACTGTATGTAAATAGCAAAGCAAGTTGTTAATATTGCTTGTGGGCAGCAGCATGACAATTTTATAACTGCAAAGGATTGCTGAGCAGCAACAGCTTGAGACAGGTTTAAGCATGCAGACGTGATTGAATTACGAGCGCTCATGTTGGACGTGCCCAGAGCCCTGGGCCAGCGCAGGCAGTGCCTGTGTCCTGAGCTTCCCAGCTCGCGCCGGGGAAGGATCCCTCAGCAGCTGAGCAGGCTGCTCCTCCGAGCGGATACAGATGATTTCATGCACGAGTCGGTGCACTATGAAAATGCCTTCATACAAGAAGAAAATGCCCCAAGATCCACACAAGCTTCCAAAAGCAAGGACACTGACATGTGATTCCATGTGAGCCCTGTGGGCACACGGCCCACAAAGTCCCTGTGCTTAGTTGCCTTTATTTAGCATCTGCTGTATCCACGGGATTTGAGCTCTCCCTGCACTATCTGATACGCGTGCAGTGAAGTGAGGCTGACGTGACACTGTTCACTGCGTTAGCACCCAGCTACAGCCATGGATATTGGAAAAGTGGAAAAGAAACTGCTGTTGTACCATAGTGGCAACATTCCTTTTAAGAGGGAAAAGCCTTGTATTTCTTCCTTAATTCACAGTCAGGAAGAAAAATCCATCAAATAGGTTTTGTTTTGTTTTTTTTTTTTTTTCTACCTGAGTAAGGCTAAAAGATTTGGCTTTTAATAGGAATAGGGACATTTCTGAGGATATTGGTTACGCCTCCTCTTGGCTGAAGGCGACACTGGCCTTTGCCCATGGCCAGGCCGCGGCTGGCGCCTCTCACCTCACAGACGGCATCTCGGCGGGCCTGCGCCATGAGCACACGGTGTCTGCAGACTCGAATACTGTGCATTGCAYCACAGAGATACCCGGGCTGGCCCCGCGTTTTTTCTGAGTTTGCTAATGGTGCATTTGGCTGCCCCTGACCCTGGCGACTGCCATGGTTCTGCTAAAGAAGCAGGCCTTGCCCAAGCCTGGCAAGCTAATACAGCAGGCGGGTCGCTGCAGGGAGAGGTGACACAGACCATAGGGCCGGGTGGGCCTGGGCACACAGTGAGCAAGAAGGCCACGGAAGGTGCCTCAGGCAAGAACAGCGAGCAGGGAAATAAAAACTAAAGCTTTTCAGGATAAGTATTTTCAGATTTTAAAGCATAATATTTAAACCAGTGCAGTGTGAACCCGTGTGGATGGTCTGAGAAGGAGTCAGTGACTGGCAGAGCGCGTGACAGCAGCCCCAGGGTGAGAAACTCTCCACTGGCCAAACTGCCACCAGGGCCAGGCCAAAGTATTCCATGTTGTCAGCAGTGTCTGACAGCACTGCTGCTTCTGGCTGCTTCCCAGGCAGCAGTTTCTTAAGGTTAACACAGCTGAGATAAGGAAATATTTCTAATAGATAAAAGGGGCTCCTTTGGATGCAATGGGTGCAATCTCTGCCTTGATGCATTTACAGCCCAAGGGCTCAGGCCTGGGATGAAAGTGATGTGGACTCAATGCAGATTGAGGCATATTGTATCTATAGAAAAATGATTGTTGAGACTAATTCTATCATGCTGTCTATATCAATATTTATCTTGGACTTTTTAACAAAGCAGTCAGCCCAAAGTTAAAAGGTACACTTATTTTTCTTATTCTTTAGTTTAATGTAGAACTGAAATACCAAAATCAAAAACAAGGTGTAGCAGAAGAACAATATTTTGCAAGAAGTTCACTAGTTGGCACTAAGTTCCCGTATAAGCATAGTATATATTTCCACATTATACTTTATCCATAAACCGGCACTGATTTTGAAAAAGTTATTAAGATTTCATTAATCTCTCAACAAAGCCCATTAGGACAAAATATTCTGCACAAAAGGAAAAAGTAAGACTAATTCTATCAAAAAAAAAAAAGTAGCACAGAAGGTGGGAAAACGTGATCAAACCTGTGCACCCTGTTCGACTTCCTTTCCACGCCTGGAAGCTCTTCTTGGAGAGGCTCCACCAGCAGGCATCARGAGAGGACACAAACTCAACCTTTATGTCAAGCTTCTTTTGCCATGATTTAGTCCATCCCCTGCATGGCACAGGGCTCACATCCCTTTGCTATTGCAAGGTGATTTTTCTGTGATCACAGACAAATGTCACGTATGGGGTAAAAGAGCCAGAGAGAGATGAAAAATCAGGCCCAAACAAATCCCATTCCTCTTTTCTCTGAATTGCAATCCCACACAGTTGACAT